TGTCATTTTATCAATGAACGAAACACCTTTGACGCCTGCTTTATCCACACGCCCTGTACTTTGTAGTGATGCCAAATAAACCCTCCTTTAATCAACCCGTCAATTATATAGGTAGGGATAATTTACCACGAGTGTAGGGTGAGAAATTTTAAGCTTTGTTTATGTAACTATATGACATTCTGCTGTTACTTTAGGATATGTCTGTACAGCGTCCCGAGGCTTCCCACAGGGTTGAAGAAGGCATAATCAAGGTTAAATACATGTTCAAGGACCAGATTTTAGCGTTCCGAGACATCCTGGCCGGTATAAGAAGTCAATAAGTAGAGCTGGATACATGTATTTCGAAAACTACAGGGCAAATGGGACCTGAGCGTGGCCCAAGGGTCAGCCCAGGTGTACAGGGGCCAGACAAATTCTAAAGCGACCGCCAAACGTCGGGTAGTCAGGGCCAACCTCAGGCCCACTTGTCCTGTCGTCCTCGAAATACATGTATTTAGCTGTAGGTACTGACTTCTTATACCAGCCAGGAGGTCTTGGGACGCTAAAATCTGGCCCTTGAACTCGTGGGCCGGCCTTCGGGTCGCGTTTAAGCCTAGTTGCTATGTCCTCTTTGGAATGCATACATCCAGGTTCACTTAATGCCTTCTTCCACGCTGTGGGAAGCCTCTTGTCCCTACAAAAGATACCTTAATACTGTCAATCAAGTCTGCAAACAATATTGGCAGTATAAAAACCAAGCATTGCAACTCACCTTATTCCCCATGTCGTTTGCAATACAGCACTGCAGGCACTGAAGCGCGTTGCAAGTACTCTGCTTCGTAATGTGAGTTAAATTAACTTCTACCCGTGACGTAAATGAGCCAAGTCTACTTGTATCACCTTAAGAAAGAAAGCTTGTGTAGTAAAAGAACTTTTGCTGGGCATAAAAGCATAAATGGATCCTAAAACTTAAGAAATTATGTATGCTTATCAAGGCGTTAAGGAAATTTAATACCAAAGTAATTAGCCTTATATGGGCCTAAAAATTGTCCAAAATTCAAGGGTTTGGATTTAAAGCCCTTCGTCTATGCAATAAATCATTTAATTGATGCGTCACTAAGTCAACTGATGACCTTGAAGCTGATTTTAGTCTTCCACATCACAAGGCGCTGTGCTTGTGCATTGGGAGGCGGGTTTTGTTGGTTCCCTTCGGACTGTTATTCTTGTTTCATCTTACGCTCCCCAATCTTGAAAGGTTTCTATTTGTGACACATAACTTACTCAACTTAGTGTAAAGCGATCCTCTTTTTGAGACAGGTCTATATTAATGTCTTGGCTTCACTGCCCGACCGGGTTATTTTGTTTTTGATTGGTGCCAATCTGCCACCGACTTGTTTTTAATGCTAAGATTTCTTTAGTGTTCCAGTTGCTTCTTTTAACTTTCCACCTTTGTTTATTGGTCGGAGGCTTTTCTACCTTAACTGTGGTTGCAAAATCTTCACTGTTGTTCCGCAAGTAATAGCAAGTCTGGTCGGCATTTGCTCATGGAAGAGCTTAGAAGTCGTTGGATCAAGTAAGTTTACTACCATCGTTGATCGCCTTAAGATTGAGGGTTCAATGGTAGTCATTCTTTTTTGGAGCATTAAAGTTGGGCGAGGTTGTAGGACCTATTAGACCTAGTTGTTCTGTCTATTTTGAGGGTTTTATTTTGGAATATCTTGCATTTTTGATTTCATTAAAGCGCGTGATTCCGTTCATCTTCTATGTTGGGTGCTGCAGGTGCTCGCTTCTGCGTGATCCATTATCACATTATTATGCATTTTAGAGAACAGATAAGGTTGAAACAAGAGTGTGTTATAGAGGATATTCCTGAAGTCTTGGAAAAACTCAGATGTAGCACACTGCTTGTGGGAGGCCTTGATATTTCCTACTCCAAAAGCGATTCAACTCTAGCTTTTGTTGGCGTTTCTGTGGTACGAATTGGTGATCCCGTTTCAGAAACTCAGGTAATTCCATTTGGGGCAGCTTGACTTATTAACTTCACTTTTTTTACTCGGTTGATGAATGGAAAATCTGCTCCTGATTCCAATGTTAAACTTATGAAGTACTTAATGAAGCAATGTTTTTTAAGCGAATTAGGCTCTTTCCGATGAATAATTCAAATTTGGACTAAGTTATACGCGATAGTTCAATCACTTTAGTTTTCCTTACCAGTTTACAAGACTGATGTGTTTAAAGCTTGGGGTTTATCAGATTCCATTTGGCTACATAGCATTTGCATTTCCGTTTTGCTTAGTGTGAAACACTGGCAATTGACTGCAATCGTGCAACAATAGAAGTGCCCTATGTACCCAATTTCCTAGCCTTTCGAGAGGTGCCTGCTTATTTGGCCGCGGTGAGCGCTTTTGAGGAGCGTCACACATCTCTCTCTCCCGACGTTTTCATGGTGGATAGCAACGGAACGTTGCATCCTATTCGTTTTGGTGCTGCTTGTCACCTTGGCGTGTTACTGAAACGACCTACTTTTGGGGTGGCCAAAAACCTTACCTTTCTCGAACCTGCACCCAACTGCTTTCCCCTAAATGCCGACGGGCCCACGCAGAGGCACCTCCTTCTACAGGTGCGGCTCTTTCTTTGGTGTATTTTCAGACTTTCTTTGGCGACTAAAATGCCAGTCAATACCTTTTGGAGCTCGAATTGTAAACTTTCTTCCTAGGTTCGTGCCAATGTACTGGTGGTTAGGATCAATAATGCTCAATGTTTATATCTTTGCCGTTATTGGTTACGATTGATTCTTCCCCATTCGGTTAAAGCGAGTTTCATCGTTTAATTTGGCATTGTTCTTTTCTTGAATTCGTACCGCCTTAACATTTTCAGGATGTTTTTTAATAACGGTAGTGAACTGTACTTCATTTGTATCCTATTCCCATTAACTTTTAAAGAGGGAGTTTCTCAATGTTGGATTTTGCTATCATATTTCGTCATTGCTATGCCTAGACGTGGGTCATAGCATTTGCATGTCTGACCCGAATCATTCAAGTCCGGAAAGGTGATTTGTCTCTAACAATTTTCCTTGTATTTGCACTTTTATGCTGGCTGTTTTGTTTTAGAGGTTAAAACAAATGAAGCGTGGAGAGAAAATTGATCTTCTTGGCAAAGACGGGTGGATAGATGGTGCCGTAAGATCTCAGTTGGTATTGCTATTTATTATTTCATTTGTGTTATTTATTCATTAAGTGTGATGGTCTAAAGCTTAAGTGGCTATCTACATACGGGTTGTGACTCCATTAGGATTCTTATTCAAAGAATCTCAGGAGGTTGTAATTTAAGAAACTACTGTCGAGTTATAAGGTCGCAAAACATTTTGGCTCGGTAATCGTGTCATTATTTCTATTTCTAGGCTGTTCTTACGGGCACATCATCGAATCCCGTTTTTGTCTCCCCTGGGCATTTGATCACCCTTCAAACAGCTGTGGAGATAACTCTTCGCTGCTCCATCCATCGGATTCCAGAACCAACAAGGAGGGTAATTCAGTATCCGTCCTTTTCTCTCGTAGCGATTTAAATGTTTCCCCTGCGTCCTGCATTTCGATCCAGTTATTTCCTTTAAACTCTTTTGTGTCATACTCTTGTCAGTTGGTTATTTGTATAAATCATGTTAAATCCCTTCCTATTCTTCCAATTTTTTGCCAATTTTAGCCTTTTTATTAATTTATTAGGCTGATTTACGAACACGCAAAGAGCTGGCTGATTTTGTAGACGCCAAACGAAATGTGGATGGATCATGAACATCACTGCTGTACTGTTCTTTGCTACTTGAGCTCATTTTAAGTAGAATTAAAGTAAGAATACCTTCACCCTCAAGTATTTTCTTGTGGTACAGGATTGTGCTTGGTTTTCTTTGTCCTATTGATTTTCAGTGGGTAAATCCTTTTTACTGAAATTAGTTAGTGGTGTGTTAATGTTGTCGCGTTAGCCCAGCTTGGAGGTGGACTGTGATCACATTACCCGTGGTCTATGACATCATTTTTCACCTTTAAGAGAAAGCAGTCAACACTACCTTTTCTTCCAGATAAGTTTTCGTTATTTTGCTTTGCATTATTGATCAAAAACCCTGCTCACTGGGAGAATAAGGAATCTGGTAATATTTCTTCCCCTTCAAAGCTATAAACAGCCTTTTTGAAGCTTAGTATGGGTATCAAGTGGTAGGTACAAATGTGCTACTGTTCCTTGTGATTGTTCTAGCACCATTGAAAATCCATTGGATCCTCTCTCGGAGTAGCACACAACACAATTAAGAGAAGTAAGTTGGTGATTTTGGAGTTCCTTTTGAATCACCAGTTTTAAGCCTCAAATCTTGCGTTCAGGGATTGACACAAAACTCAGATCTTACTTGGAGGAATTTTTCAAAGCGAGACTTTTGTTAACCCCCAGTGCGGGGTACTTGTTTGGCTCAAAGTCATCTCAGCCGAACTCATTGAAGCTTAACGGGGTAACTCTTCTGAAGCGGAGCTCCTCAAAAGCTCCTAGTTTCTAACTACAGAAATACAAACATTCGTCGTTGTTCTTGCACCACCGGGTGTTACATCTGCAGTACACACTTCTGAGAAGTGATGAGTTCTTAGTAGGTACAATAAAGGCAATTTATTTGCATTAAGAGTGCGCTTGGACGACGTCACTGCTTTTGCTAAGTGGAAAGGTCAGACTTCTATTTAATATCACATTGGTAAGAACACGTTATTGTAAACTTTGTGACACTTTCCCACTTGAATTTCGATCATTCAAGTACAAATAAAGCACTTCTCAGCTATCCATCCCACACGTCCACTTGGTCGTAATTTGTTTATTCATGCATTTCAGATACTAGTCTATTGCAGCAGAACGTCCTGAGTAGTAACCTTTTGAGTGTTTGAAGAACAGCGGGGTCTCACGCAGAGGTTTGATATGAGAAAACTGTAATGCTATGTTGTTATGCCGACATCATTGGCTTCGCTCGTGTTTAACAGGCATCCAGGACTTTGGTCGACACCTCCCCTTCGATCCACAAAAGCCCAGCGAGCGCATGCGCTCCTATTGTCGTAGCAACTGCAAACTTCTCTACCAATCAAACTGATGCATAAGTAGTGGACTCGCCGATCCTACGAGCCAATCAGAGTATCGCTTTTCTTTTTTCGCAGACCTCATTTCATGCACTGTCACTTGGCTGCGCAGACACTCACGGTCTGTGTGCGTGCCTGCTTGTGTTTGTGTGGGTTTGCACATCTGCTTGTACTACCCTGCCTGCGGGGTACACAGCCGTGCACCGACACCTTTGTGGTTTTGCGTGAGTTCCACGCTGTTTATAACTTTGATGAGCAGACTCGACTCATACGCGTCTTTCCTGTAACCTAATTGTCTTGTGCCACTACCTGCTCGCATAATTTTTCCCTGCTTGCCACGTGTTTACCCTCCAAACTTTGGGCTTCTACGTCGTTGGGACTTGGCTAGCGTTTGTATCGTGTTCCTATTTTGGTACATTGAGTCGCGTATGCGTACGGGTTTATGGAATGTCCATGGGTGAAGTGTGGTTAAAATGTACATACTAGTTAGAGTTCGTATCGAATTAATGTATATGGAAGGGGTGTGTTGGTCTTAGATGGGGATCAAATACCAAGATAGGGATTCATAGACGTGTGCACTCAGCCAGACCGGGGTGTCTCCACTAGCTCGTTTCTTCATCCAACTGATTCAGTCTGCGTGAAGTATCGGTGCCGACAACGGGAGTTCGTCTTTTTGAATGGAAGCTGGTCCTCTGATGACCTAATCTGCTGCAGTCCCAAGTCCGAATGTCGTTAGATTTCGTAGTGCCAAAATTGTTATTGCACAGATATCCGTGGACATTCTCCACGCCGAGGGAGAATGATGGCTTCCAGTTCCAAATGCTCCGATTGTATGACGTCCGCTTGCCATAAATGGCAATCAGATTCATGAGTCTCCTCGTGGACATGACGAGGACGAATCTCCTAACGCTCCCAGCTAGGTTCTGATGATGGAAGAACAGCTTAGGTTATTCTCACGGTCCACTCCTCTCCCTCGAGGACCGCTTTCGCATATTCTATCCCCTAAGGTGAAGCTCGAAATTGCCGACCCGAGCTATTGAGTTTTGTGTGGTTGCATTTTCACAAGGCCACTGCTGGTTTGGGCGGCACAAGCCCACGGCACTTCATGGACGAACGTACTAGGAGCTCGGCCATGTTTCCTGACTTCGCCCAAACTCCCAGCCTTTTAACGCACCCGCCAGCGGACGGATTCGTCACTGCGTCGACGCCCACCTGAACGTATGCGCGTACGATACGCCGGAGCCCATCCCGAGTTGCGATCCACACCCACGCCACTTTCATCGGGCAGGGCAAGCGCCCCAAGGGGTCGCATAAGCGAATTTACGGTACAGACCGCGCGTTTCAGACGCCGGTAAATCGCCTCAAGGATGACCCCCCACCCACAAACCTCTCCCATAATTCAACGATGACTTCCGATCCGATCATCGGATCAAACAAGCTCAAGGGGGACCAACGTCCACCCACAGGCGACGGAGAGCAAAGGCGAATTGGCGCTCGGAACACGGTCGCCGCTCCCATACCACCCCGACACGCGAGACTCGTGCCGACCAAAGGACTACCTCGCCTCGAAATTTGATTACTGCATACAAGATAGCAAAGGCCCAGCCACTCAGAAGCCGTAAGAGGATGCCAGGCCGGACATTCTCGCGACGGACCACCCGTAGACCTTCGCAAAGGGATCAAGGCGCCATCCGAAGGGCCGTGTCGGAGCAGAACAAACATCAGATCAGAGACTGACGGACCGTGAGAAGTCCACGCACCAAAAGTGCGGCGAGACCCACGGCAAAAACTCGCACAAGCAAAACTCGAGCTCGAGAACGACAACCACGATGGTGAACATCTAGGATTTATTAAGAGTGCCCTAGAACTTAGACGGAGTTGTGCCGTTATTCCGATCCGTTAAACCAGTAAAGCATTACAACGCAGCCACCTACGTAACACGATATATGTCAAAATCTTTGACCATAGGCAAAAAACATAAATGCAGGTCACGAGAGATTAACTTTGAGGACGCAAGAACGGTAAACGTTAACCTCGAAAGCGGACCCAAAATGTGCTTATACACTCATAAAAACGATAATCTGTACAAAAAAGCACGATACACGCAGTTTATGAGATGGATGGGGAAGGGGGTAAAAGATACCAGAACACGAATCACCCGCGCATCAGACTAAGGAAAATGCACGATTGACTTGTCACGTCGTGCAGGGCACACCCGGTTCCGCTTTACGATGACTTCGCAGCGTCTTCCCCACCAGCATCGTCGTAAGCAAGATCTTGACCATCCTCATCATCTTCCTCCTCCTCCTCCTCATCATCTTCCTCATCCAAAAGATCCTCTGCAGGAGTAAATGACGAGACTACAACCTACCTTCTACTTCCTCATCTGAGTCAATCTCAGGATTGAGATAGTACTGAAGTGGGTTTGGCCAGAGCTCATCCTTAATATAATCACCAATGACGTCACCCACGGCATTGCGGTCATACGCAAACCAACAGAAGAAACTGGACTGATGAGGGTAGTCCCTCTTCTGACCTTCCCTTCCATTATCGGCCGACTCCGTAAGATCCATCCCCGGCTTCCAGTCAATTTTGGTAGAAGTGGCGGTTGGCTCACCCTTTTCACTAACGTGATACTCTTTAGTGATACAATCGTTCTTAAACCAGTCATTTTCATCAAAGTACTAAAACCGTGAATAAGGCAATGACAGTCATACGAAATTGATCTTGTAACCGGACGTAATATCATCAAATTCTTGTACTTCAACAGCTCTCAAATAAGCGAGAACCTTCTGATCCTCTTCCGTAATCACTTTGCGCAAGTGCGAGTGATTGACAAAGACAGTATGCCAGAAATTCGGAATTTTCGCGAGGAGTTCCGCACGATGCTCATAGTGCGGCTTGCGTAATTTGTTAAACTTCTGCTCTACTTTGAGAATTTCAACGCTAGCCTTTTTGTTAAGGCTGTCGATAGCTTCTTGAACAGAATCAACGCTCTCCAGAATGTCATGATCAACCTCTGTAAACGAATAAAAATGAACAACTCATCGAACCGATGCAAAAGTACAAAAGTGAAGAACAAACAACCTGGTGGAACGTCAGCAGCCTCGTTATCGCTGCGAGGATTCTTGGGTTGAGAAGCCATTAGCGCTGCAACTGAACCCGGAACCGCAAGATGTGTAAGTCACCCGAAAAGTAAAACAAACTAATTATCCCGGAATTAGAAAACTCTAACTTCAGGAGCTTTATAGGTAATTTGACAATATATTAACGTTCAAGATAATTTTATAAAAATAATATTTATTTGCTTTGCAGATTTTATTCACATCTTTAAACAAATTAAAGAGCAGGCAACAATGCAACGTGCAATTGCCCAACAGAAGCTACATTAAGGGTCACCGAGATGGAGAATCGTGGTCCTACTCCTCCAACTCTTCCCACATCCCTATCTGAACCACATGTTTATTCCCCGGCCCAAATTGAATAGGACCTGACGTCGCCAACCCCATAGTCTACAACCTCTGATAAACGACAACTAGACAAGATAGCGACCTCGCGAACCGCACTATACCCTGAGACCTGATGTGCGCGCAACCGCCCAACCCACCAACAGCGATGTTCACGCAGAAGTGACCCCTCCTTAGTAATCAGCTGTGCCACGGAGGCAAGAGCCCGCCCCCATGCGGCACCCAACCCTACAGCCCAATTACCGCCCCCCGAATGCTTTACAGGTCTCAACATAAGTACGTAAACTCCCACCTAGACTCCATTTGGAATGATGCTCCGCAGTTCAATGCTACGTAGAGCCCATGTCAGCGTAAACTAGCTACTCTGTTACTAGCATTGTGATGAGTACTAAAAAGAGTATCGGTAAACCAGCCACACTGCATTGCGGTAGATTGACTAAATGCATAATCCAATATGAACACTATTTCGCAGTAATGACAACATCCAAATGCTATTTTAGGCAGGAAAAATACTAAATACGGATAGATTCCTTGTTCCGAGGCTGGTGAGGGAGGAGAGGCGGTGTGCCCGTGCGAGGATTCGGAGGTTGGGTGGCAGATCTATCCATTAGCTGGGGGGAGGCATGTGCTCAAAAATGTCTTCACATCAGCAATTTCCTACACAATTAAACGATAAAGGTATAAAAGGTGAAGCTCATTGAAAAAAGCCTCGAAATCGTTGGAGCATCATCGAATTCGAAATTAGCACAATGACCTTGAGACATCGACACGACTATTATTCGCTGAAAACTGGAAAATGTTTGATGACGATCAATGATGTGCTTGAGTGCCAAATGACACCCACAGCCAATTCCATGAAGGCATAAATTCAGTAAACAAGCAACCTACATTGCTGCAGGAACAGTGACCCATGCCCTGATACGATGAGAATGAGCAGTTTGCGAAACCGAGCTTGCGTAATATGGAGTTGGTCAGCGTGCCCAGTTCGTAAGGAACAATGGGATCTACTTTACCATGGCATTGAAGAATGGGCATGGATCGGTTCGCCGTCGCAACCTATAGAAGAGATACAATTAATGCAGGTTGGGTATATATAGCCGTTTCAACGAAATAAATGAACAAACAATGTCACAAACGGTAGCTTATGTTGACCATCACACACGCTGAAATCTACTCAGGTGAGATTTTATAGAGAGAACGTTTATGAAAGAAAAGAGAAAAGCTGTGGGAGAATAGTTTACGAATGAATACCTGCGGATGAATCAAGTCACATGTAAGTGGTGCTGATGACGGAGAAAAAAATGCCCGTGAGAAGAGGGTAGGATGACTTGATGAAAAACACAGTCGAATAAGAGCAGAATAAATAGATGCATGAAATAATTCACGTGAGTGCTTGCAGACCACCAGCATAAATACATTCACGACAAAATTATAGTGAAGAAGGGGCCAAAAAAGCTAATTAATTACAGGGGTGCATGCTATCAGCTTATGCTAATCAATTTTAAACAGAGTGCTATAGAGAAAATGTAATATTGGCAAGTCATTAAATTTGAGTTGCCGGGCCGTTGACGCACAAGAAAACCCACCCGCGAGGGCGTAGCAACGAAGCGATGAAAGAGTTGGACTTACATTGCCAGAAAGAACAGTAACATCTAAACAAATCTTCCACATATTTCATAAACCAAGACAAAGGACCTACGGAGCTATTGGAGACAAATTTTTCGTGGAGGGGGAGCCAACAACTGAGAGCAACAAGACCACCAAGTTTTTGCTCCACATTGGTCATGCCGTAGTAAAACGCGATACTCCCACCTTGAGAGAAGCCACCAACCACGATTCGATCCGCGGAAATTCCAGCAGTCTTCTCAGCGGCTACCCACTTCGCGACTGCGAGGACGCAAAGCAAATAATGAGACAAAAAAAATGCTAGGGAATCGTTTTTTATTCTAAATAAACACAAGCTTCACAAAAGTCGCGAAATTCAAATTCAGCTACATATGCACACCAGCAAAAACTATGAAAAGTAGGACAATAGCAACACGGAAACATCGTCTTCAAGTAAACCCTTATTTTGCTTGCAAACCAATAGATGACTAGGCCAACAGGAATTCGCTATTCAGTGCAGACAAAGATTGATTACAAAAGAGGTTTGACAAATAGTTGGAGGATTCAAGACTGTCGACAGTCAGATAAGCACGTAGAAATCTTAACAATGCCGCAACCGAACCAAATCTCAAAGGAATCAACTCACCCTCTTTGGTAGCTTCGAGGATACCAGATTCATCCTCCTTAGCCCCGATACCAAGGTTATAAAGATCATACCTGCAGATAAAGTTTATTTTGAAGGAGTAACAACCATTATAACTGGGAAAGTAGTTTGAAGATTAAAATATTAAACTCAAAGTACCTACCAAGCAGGCATCACCATACCCATGTTCAGGGTAACGGGCATATCTCTTCTATAAGAAAATTCCAGAATAAAAAGAGAGTGAAATTACGCATTAGGACAGACAATCTTGCAATAGGGAGGAACGACATTACGGAGCGTATCAGCCCATCCAGAACTAGATGGAAGCCAATTAGATGGATTAAGCCCGAAAACATACCCATTATCCCCCAATCCATGAAGAAAAATGAGCTAAAAAATAAGGACGTAGGAACTACTAAGAGTCAACAACCTAATCGTAGACAATACAGCAATATTTTAAACTAACTAATCATCAGAGATAGTATGCTGCTCAAGAATCGAGCTTAATAACATTTAGTTGAAGAAAGCTTGGAAACTAAATAATGAAATTACAGAAGCAGTATGTCGTGTCCTGGACTCAATAATCTCCGCCGGAAGAAGAGCCATCGAACCAATGGATTCCTAAGTCAGCGCCTGAAGAAGCCGACGCATGCTTCAATTTACCAATAAGAACCAGAGCTCCGATTTTTACTTGCATTTCTAAAAGACTTTAAATTTGGAAAAAAACGTTGATGTTACGCAAAGTTGCTCTCATCAATTTCTTTCACAGTGTAAAATACCTATTATAATCCATAGTGCGCACATGCCAGCAAGCTAATTTTAGTTAAAAATAATGTGCAATATAAAGATCAAAGCAAAACACCAAATTAATTTTGATCAAAAGACAAAAAACAGCTACTAAAATTTCGTTGATTTTTACAGTAAGCTCTACGCTTCTATCAGTGGGTAAGAACTTTGAAGAGTTTCTAGGCGAGCCATTGTGCCAAATGTCACTTACAGGACGTTTTTTGTGAAAAGGATGCATCATTTCCACCTACCATGTCAATGATTATAAAGCGCAGCTGTAGTCACATGTGAATTTAAGTCTTTCAATAGTTTAATTTATGCCGTCCGTTAATGTTTTTCCTAAGATAAAAGATGCTGTTGACTATTATTATTTGCGATTGTAGCGGTAGGGTCTCAGGAGTTTCCACCTAGAGGAATAAGGTATTAAGTGAGGACGAATAAATGCATTTCTGAGAGAAAAAAACGATTAGATTTAGCCTGTCTCACGGGCATGTCCACGCGTACAGGAACCAGACCAATCTTAAAATATTAGTTAAACATAAGTTCACCGCATAAACAAAGATTTGCCATAACATACAAAAACTTCCTTGAAGATCTTAAGAGACATTCAGACATAATATTTAATTTTGCTTATTCAAACTTCGGTGCCAGGTGCGATTTCTGAAATGGCCGTGCGACGACCTAGGACTTCCCATCAGATAGAATATGCTACTTTGGAGAGAATACGGGTATTTAAAGAGAAAAAGAAGGTATAGGGCCTTGACATG